CACAATTTTTCCACGGGGGTGGGGGGTAGTTTCCGGATGATTCAAGCACATTACATTTATTGTGCACTTTATTTCTGTTATGATTACATTGTAACATAGTGAAATAATTATACAACTCACCATAATGCAGAATCAGTGTGAGCCCTAAGCTTGTTTTCCTGCTACTAGATGGTCCGGTCCGGGGGTGATGCGAGATGGTGAGGGATCTAACAGGAGGCGGAGTTCAGGCAGCCATGCCAGCCATGGGGAGCGGCCCTAAGTGCAGGTGAAGCTTCCCGGGCTGATCACTGCTCACCTCCCGCTGTGCGGCCCAGTTCCTAACAGGCCACAGACAGGTACTGAGCTAAAGGCCCAGGAATTGGGGCCCTAAGTATCAAAGGATCTGTCTTTAGGCAGATAAGGGACATTCAGAGAACGCTTCTCCCTGCACTTGGTGTTTTTCAAATGACTTCAGCTCAAAATAACCAATGTACCAAAGCAGTGTATTTGGGGTGTCACGCCCTGAACTCCCTCACGTGTGGAGCCTTGGTTTCCTCCAACGCTGGTGGCCCTGAGCAACCGCAGGCAGAGAGAGCCACATGCCCCAGAGTAGGGGCCCAGGGCCATGTCCCCTTAGGGTTGTAGGCAGGTGCTGAGGTGTGCCTGTCACATCCAACCCTCCAAGTGGGAGGGGACACCACCACCCCCACCCTGAGGCACTGCAGAAATGCCAAGCCCAAGACAAAGTGGCCTTTCCCAGAGGATCCTAATTTGTCTAAGAAGAGAAGTCATAGTCATTGTTACTGACCCCCTACCCCAGGAAGTCACCAGGCATCTGGGAGCCCAGGGCCAGGCAGAGGCAAGTGTCTGGGGGGCAATGGCCCCAGGAGATTCCACTGGACCAGGAAGGAGAGTGCTCCAAGGCCTGCGTGGTTTCAGGAGGCTAAGGAGTGGGACCCCGGAGTCCAGCCATGACTCTATCAACCTTTGTGATTAACGAAAGACTCCGGAGAAGGTAACCAGAAGTTGCTCGTGCAAAGGTCACCCCTCTTAGTCACAAAGGAATTCCGTGGCTGATCCAAGGTGTGGAATTGAAGACTTTTACCAGAGCATAGTCTTGTTCTGTTAGGAGTCCCTTCTAGCTATTACCAACATGTTTGGCTTTCTTTTGATTTTTTTTAGAAGTTTTTAATTATTGTGGGTACATAAGAGTTGTATATTTTTATGGGGGTACTTGTGTTTTGATACGGGCTTGCAGTGTGTAATAATCAAATCAGGGTAAGTGGGGTATCCATCACCTCAAGCATTTATCATTTCTTTGTGTTAGGAACATTCCATTTCTACTCTTTTAGTTATTTTCAAGTATACCCTGACTTATTGTTGACTTTGGGCACCCTGTTGTGCTATCAAATGCTAGATCTTGTGCATTCTATGTTTTTGCTATATTCTAACTATATTAACCATCCCACTTTATTCCCCTCTCCTCACTACCCTTCCGAGCTTCTGGTAACCAGCAGTCTACTGTCTCTGTGAGAACAATCGTTTTTATTATTTAGCTCCCACATATGAGTGAGAACATGCGAGATTAGTCTTTGTGTGCTTGGCTTATTTCACCTAACACAGTGTTCTCCAGTTCTGCCCATGTTGTTGCAAATGCCAGGATTTCATTCTTTTTTGTGGCTGAATAATATTCCATTGTGTATGCACCACATTTTCTCTATCCATTCATCCACTGATGGACACTTAGGTTGCTTCCAAATCTTGACTATTGTGAATAGTGCTGCAATAAACACGGGAGAGCAGGTATCTTTTTGATATACTGATTTCCTTTCTTTTGGATATATACCTGGCAGTGGGATTGCTGGGTCATTTGGTGTGATTTTTCTTTTTAATCTATAGACTCTCATGTGTACAAAACTGTCTTGTAAAACTCTCGAAAGACTGTAGAGATTGTTACTTTGGCCCGTGAGAGTTTAATTCTGCCTGGCTGACTTACACATGTGCTGTATTGCTGACAGTTGGCATTTCTTCATTTCTTGATGTTTTTATAGACACTGAGATTTATTTGTCAAGTAGAAGTGGCTGGCCAACACACCTCTTCGTGGACACAGGTGTTATAGACTTCAGGCCAGGTGCAGTGGCTCAGCACATGTAATCCTAGCACTCTGGGAGGCCAAGGTGGAAGGATCACTTGAGGTCAGGAGTCTGAGACCAGCCTGAGCAAGAGCAAGACCCCGTCTCTACTAAAAATAGAAAAATTAGCTGGATGTGGTGGCACACATCTGTAGTCCTAGCTACTCAGGAAGCTGAGGCAGGAGGATCCCTTGAGCTCAGGAGTTCAAGGCTGCAGTGAATTATGATACCACCACTGCACTCTACCCAGGTGACAGAGGGAAACCCTGACTCAAAAAACAAAAACAAAACAAAGCAACAATTCAGTCTTTGTCTCATGTGAATTATCCACCTCGAAGCGAATGAGATTCCTGTTGAGAAATGAAGCATCTCATCTGTGTACCCTTGGAGTGATGTGATTTGTAGAACACAGGGGCTGTGGGTGATTCCCTTTGGCCCAGTGTGAACCCTACTTTCCCAGTAACTTCAGCAGGTCTCTAGTGATTTTGCTACCTTGCAACCCCTCCTTGAGAAAATGCTCATCAGATGCTCTTCCAAAAAGAGGAGTCCTGCGCCAGGATAACCCCTAGATAGACCAAGGAACAAGTGGCCACCACCCCCTTGCCCACCACGCAGTCCTCTGATTCCTTCTTCCACCGTCATTCCCGATGCTGTCCCCCATTCCCCACCCAGAGGCAGCTACTCCGCTGGGTTCCATTTGTTCTATCTGTGTGAACTGTCCTTCTAAACTGCAGGGGTCCTCAAACTTTTTAAACAGGGGCCGGCCCAGTTCACTGTCCCTCAGACCGTTGGAGGGCCAGACTATAGTTTAAAAAAAACTATGCACAAATTCCTATGCACACTGCACATAGCTTATTTTGAAGTACAAAAACAAATGGGCAAAAACACCCGCATGTGGCCCTCGGGCCGTAGTTTGAGGCCGCCTGTTCTAAAGACTGAGCAGTTGTTTTGTGGGCAGGCACTTTAATTTTGGGTAAATGGCCCTGTGTTTTGTATTTCACTCACCCACGTGGTGGTGTGTGTGGCTCACCTGCCTCTTCCAAGAGCTGTGGCATATTCCGTAGTCTCCATCTGCCCCGTCACCTTCCACCCACCACGACGCAGCCGTGTGCAGCCCGTGTGCCTGCGAGGGGGTGTCTTTGGAATATAACCCCCAGGGATGGACCTGCTGGGTCCTCAGGTCACTATGTCCTCAGTTTGACAAAGTTGGCCAGATGGTGCTGCAGAATGAGAGGGCTTGGGGTGCGGGAGGTGGGGGGCAGGCAGCTCATCCCCACCAATCTAATAGTCAAGGCCTCACTCCCGCGGGTGTACCCTTTCGCTGCGCCAGGCCTTTCTGGCTTCTGCTATAGACTGAATGTTCTGTGTCCCCCTAAAATTCCTACGTTGAAACCCTCGCCCCCAAAGGAATGGTACTGGGAGATGGGGCCTTTGGGAGGTGATTAGATGATGAAGGTGGGGCCCTAATGAGAGGGGCTAGTGTCTTTAAAGAGACCCCAGACAGACTCTCACCCCTTCCGCCACATGGGGACACAGTGAGGCTTTCCAAATGAACCAGGAAGGGGGTCTCACCGGACACTGACTTTGCCATGCCTCGATGGATCTTAGACGTCCAGCCTCCAGAGCTGTGAGCAATACACCTCTGTGGTTTACGAGCTACCCAACCAATGGCACTCTGTTATGGCAGTCTGCAGGGACTAGGACAGCTTCCTCTCTCACAGTGCCATCTTCAAAACCTTGCTCATTTCTTTTTTTAATTCCTTTTTGCTTCTCTGGACCTGCAGGAGTTCCTTGCATCGTCTAGTGTTAACCATGTTGGTTTGGACACTGCAAATATCCTCTACAACTCTCTCTTTATTAACTCTGGCTGTGGGAGCCCTGGTTGAATAGAAGAGGGGATGTTTTTAACAAGCCTGACCACTTCGCTGTGGAGACCAGGTGGTGCCAGCCTGTCTGCTGGAGGCAGGAGAGGGTGACACCAGCGGACAGCCTGGGCACCACCTGGTTTCCACAGGTAAGGTGGCGCTCAGCAGCTGTGGATAGCTCTTCCGCGTGTTCTGGGACCCCACCTCCCCACGGCAGAGCGGGGCTGGGGTGGGTGGCAGTCTGTCCACAGGTTTGCAGAGAGGTGAGCCCGGACAGCAATAGCCTGTCTGTCCGCCCCGCCCTCCTCTGCATGCTGCATCTGGAAGGGAGCTGCCTCTGCATCCAGGAAACCATCAGCCGATGGGCTCTTCCTGGAGCTCTCCGGTAAGTCTGGCACGTGCACACCAAGCCCCGGACACCATGCGAACGTCTCATGTGCACACCTCTTGTCACGGGCACCCTGAAAGTGTGCCTTGTGGCAGAACAATTTCTGCTGCCCCGTTCCCCACGGAGGCTCCCGCCATCCTCACCCTTCCACCCTGTCAGCTACAGCAGGCAACGGCTCTGTAACCGTCCTTTGTGTGTCTCCCCAGGGAACCCTGCTGGCATTGTCTTGGCCTATCAACCCAAGGGTGGAACTGCTATGTTTCCAAATGTCTTAGTCCATTCTGGCTGCTCTGTCACCCAGGCTGGAGTGCAGTGGCGTCGTCATAGCTCACTGCAGCCTTGAACTCCTGGGCTCAAGCGATCCTCCTGCCTCAGCCTCCCGAATAGCTGGGACTACAGGCATGCGCCACCATGCCAGGCTATTTTTTTTCTATTTTTTGTAGAGATGGAGTCTGGCTATGTTGCCCAAGCTGGCCTCAAACTCCTGGCCTCAAGTGATCCTCCTGCCTCAGCCTCCAAAAGTGCTGGGATTACAGGTACAAACCACCAAGCCCAGCTGGATAATTTTTCCTTAACACTGGAGACTGGCAGGCAGAGGGAAGGGGTGCTGCGGACACAGAGACTCGGAGCACACAGCCTGGAGCAAACCCACTTTATTTGGCATCGGGAGCCCGGCCCACGAGCCGGGCAGCTCAGACTCCCAGCCATCACGCCAAGGCTGGGGGCTTCTGAGGGCTGGGAAATGGGCCCCGACCCCCATGGCCTGGTTACCGCCCAAAGCCCCCAAGTCTGCATGTCTGTCTGCATCCATGTTCCCGACCTGGCCACGCTGCCTACCCTGCGCTGAGCTTTGCGAACTGGACTCGTTACTCTACACACGAGGATGCCGCGGGCAGCTGCGCTACTGCTACGTCATGAGTTTCGAGAGATTCACCTACCAGAGAAAACATGAAGAACAAGCCAAAGATACAGCGAGATGAAATGCCACGGCAGGGCCCGGGGCCCCTGGAGGGGAGCCAGGAAAGGGACCCTGCAAGAGAGGGGGACCAAGCGTAGGGAGGGTTCCTGGGTGGCCACATGGGCCAGGAGGGGCGACGGGGAGGAGGGAGGTGGACAGGGCCACCGGGACGAGGCACCCTGGGCCCACCCCACCGCAAGGGCAGGAGGGCCCCTCTCGGGCATCGAGTGCGCACTTGCTTTCCCGTCCCCGAGGGGCTGGGTTCCAAGCGCACCCAGGACTCTTCCTGTGCTCCGTCCCCCAGACCCTAACCCCAAAGCCAGGCACGCTCTACACTCTGGAAGGTGTGGGGTCTGGGTCCCTTGGTGCCAAAGTGACGTCCCCATGCACAGGCACTGAGGCCGCTGGGTGACGGGAGGAAAGTGTGGGCCCCAGGCGCCGGGTGAGTCTCTGATGGAGGAGTGAGCCCTGACCAGGGCCCGGGGAGGGCCGGGTGCAGGCGGGGGAGTGACCAGCCGCTAGGGGATGTCTACAGCCCCGAAAACACTCGCGCCTCAGGGAGAAGGGAAGGGACAGTGTGGAAACACGGACGATCCGGAACGATCCGGAACAGCCGCAGGCGGAGGCCCGGAGATGCTTCTCCGCCTCTACAGCTGCCGGGTCCCTCGGAGGCGGATCTGTCCCCTCTGCCTCGGGCTCCAGGGGGACCCTGCGGGGTCCGCGCCATCACTGCACGGGAGGGGAGAGGAGCAGAGACAGAGACAGAGTGAGAGACACAGAGACAGATAAAAAGAGAGACAGAAAGATGCAGAGACACACAGAGACACAGAGATGGAGACAGAGAGAAGGCAGAAAGAGAAAGTGAGAGAGACAGTGAGACAAGGGGTCAGAAAGACAGAAAGAGAAACAGAAACAGAGACAAAGATAAAGAGACAGAGACGAAGAGAGAAACAGAGACAGACAGAGATACAAAGAGACACACAGAGACAGATACAAAGAGAGCCAGAGAGAGACACAGAAATAAAGAGAGACAGAGAGACAGTGAGACAGAGACACAGAGAGAAGAGAGGGAGACAAACAGATGCAGACACAGAGACCAAAAAAGAGAGACAGAGATCTCTACCGTCCCAGGCATGACACACCCAGACTCAGGAGACCTGACGTCCCCACCTACACCAAGCCCCAGCCTCTGTGTCCCCAAGGCCAAAGCCTCGTCCCCTACAGCTGGCCCGGGTGACTGGGAGGTCGCTCGGGCAGGGGGCTGCGGGTTCTGGCATCGCAGCCCCGGGTGCAAAAGGCCCAGCGTGGGTCGCTGAGGGCCTCGGGCCGAGGGTGAGAAGAAACCCCGAGGACCAGAGCCCCAGGCAGGGGTTTCCTGGCCGAGGCCGCGGCCCTCCAGGCTCTGGCACTCAGGGCCCAGACGTGCCCTCCTGCGCAGAGACCGCAGGCACCTGGGACCGGCCTCAGCTGGAATGCCCGGCGTCACCCTCCGTGATCACCTGCTCACACCTGAGACTCACACCTGAGACTCGCCCGTGAGGCCACAGTGCCCGGGGTCAGGCTGTGGCTTCTGGCAAACTACCTCTGGCAAGGGCTCCCCGCCAGGACGCCAGCCAGCCAGCCAGCCAGCGAGGGCGGCCCTCCCCGCCCCACCTGCACGCCCCGCCCCTGCCCCCACCTGCAGCAGCATGCTCAGGCCCAGGTTGCGGTGCTTCCTCTCCAGCTCCGACACGGCCTGCAGCAGGGACCGGAACCGCTCGGCCGGGTCCGCCAGCTCGTCCTCCTGTACGCCCTCCTCTTTCTCAGCCTCCCGCAGGAAGTGCTCCTCCTCCTCAGCGAAGAAGGCCCGCAGCTTCTTGTAGTCAGTCAGGGCCTTCTTCCTGCGGTCCATCACGTGTCCCTACGGGGCGGCGGCAGGAAAGGACACGTGTGTCCTTGGGCCCCAGCTGGGCACCTGGGGCCACCTCCCCACAACCATCACCTGTCCTTGGGGGAAGAGAAGGCATTGAGAATATGCCACCCCAAGACGTGCTGCTGTGGCATATGGACTTATTTGGGATTAAAAGCATTAAAAAACAACAACATAAAAAAAGAAAAACAGCAGGCACAAGAATGTCACTCTGATGTTCATTCTGCTTCTTAAAAGCAGATGAAGTTCCCACATGGGCCAGGCATGGCAGCCTGTAATCCTGGTGCTTTGGGAGACCAGGCTGGGAGGATCACTTGAGGCCAGGAGTTCAAGACCAGCCTGGGCAATATAGCAAGACCCTATCTCTACAAAAAAATAAGAAAAAATTAGCTAGGCACAGTGGGTGGTGTGTGTCTGCACTCCCAGCTACTCAGGAGGCTGGGGTGGGAGGGTCGCTTGAGCCCAGCAGTCTGCAGAGGCTGCAGTGAGCCGTGATCACACCCCTGCACTCCAGCCTGGGCAACAGAACAAGACTCTCTCTATAAACATGAAAGAAAGAAATTCCCATGTGAAAGATGCCCTCCCTGTACCAACAGAAATGATATTCTTATCAAAGACAACAGGAAGTCAGGGCTCATGGAATTTGCTACAGATTTTGCTAAAATAACATTTTTTTTTTTTTGAGACAGTCTCACTCTTGTTACCCAGGCTAGAGTGCCATGGCATCAGCCCAGCTCACAGCAACCTCAATCTCCTGGGCTTGAGCAATCCTCCTGCCTCAGCCTCCCTAATAGCAGGGACTACAGGCATGCGCCACCATGCCCTGCTAATTTTTTCTATATATTTTTAGTTGGCCAGCTAAGTTCTTTCTATTTTTTTAGTAGAGACGGGGTCTCGCTCTAGCTCAGGCTGGTCGCAAACTCTTGAGCTCAAACGACCCTCCCGGCCTCAGCCTCCCAGGGTGCAAAATAACTCTATCTTTTAAGCCTCCATATAATGTAGTTGTTTTTGTTTTTTACAACTTTCATTGGTCTTTGTCCAGCTTGGTACATAAGCCATTTGACTCTGACTGCCTTTCTTCAGGAGGGATCCGTGCCACGCAGAACTTGCGTTAAGTAAATCCACACGCTTCTCTCCCGGGAGTCTGTCTCGCGCCAGTGGGGCTCCGAGGCCCGCCCTGGGACCTAAGTGGGGAGCCCCAGTGTTCTCTCCCCTGCGCTGCCGTTAACGTGCTCGGCTGTGCATGAAGGCCCTCCGCCTCCCAGCAGCCGAGGGGAAGGCACGTCCCTGAGAGTCTCTGCCGGGTCCAGGGCCTGTCAGGCATGTGACTGTTGAGTCACAGCACACAGCCACTTTTCCACCCACCTTCCCTGCCGCACCCCCACCGGAACTCCGAGGGCTGCAAACCATCCCGTCAGCCTTCAGCTAAAAGGGACGTCCACCCGTGCTGCCTCCTCGGCCAGCCTCCAACGCCTGCCTGACCTTACGGACAGGAGACTGTGGCAAGGTGCTCCTCTGACTTTACTCAGGTTCACCAGTGTCTCTGACCTGGTCCCCGGACACCCTGTGCAGGGCGTCACCGAGGCTCATGCTTTTGTGGCTGACAGAGAAATGCAAATGACAGCGGGTCCCGCTGCTTGGCTGACCGTGGCACGCCACTGATTTCTTCCTTAGAATTTAGAAGGCTTCTCTCTTCTCAGGGTCTCCGCCGCCACCCCCAAAACCAGGTTCCATTAAAAGCCCTGATCTGCTAAAATCTGCAGCCAAAACAAGTCCTTCAGGGTAACATGGGGTTACTGAAAACTGAGAGGTGCCCAGAGCCCCCCAGCAGCACCTGCACTCGGCAGTGTGTGCCTCTCTTAGAAGAAGCAGGGGGAAGTTCAGAGGAGCCCCCAAGGGCAGCGTGGGCTGCCAGGAGGCCAAGTAGCACTGTGGACCCAATGTGTCACCTCTCTGCCACTGTCTGAGGGAGGCCTGCACTTCAGGCCTCTGTGTACTGGGCCAAGGCTGGGCTGGACCAGGAGCGCAGAACACCCCAACACGGGGTAGGACCGGCCGCCTCAGCCCCAAGGTGCAGGCCCACAATCCGAGAGCTTCCATAGTTTTTAAAAGTACTTTATGGCCGGGCGCAGTGGCTCACGCCTGTAATCCTAGCACTCTGGGAGGCCGAGGAGGGTGGATCACTTGAGCTCAGGAGTTCGAGACCAGCCTGAGTAAGAGCAAGACCCCATCTCTACTAAAAACAGAAAAATCATGAGGGCGTCATAGTGGCATATGCCTGTAGTCCCAGCTACCCGGGAGGCTGAGGCAGGAGGATCGCTTGAGCCCAGGAGTTTGAGGTTGCTGTGAGCTATGATCACACTACTGCACTCTACCCAAGGTAACAGAGCAAGACACTGTCTCAAAAAAGAAAAGTGTATGTGAGAGCCGCCCAAACACACTAAGACACGGAGCAAGTCCTCCGGGCACACAGACGGTTCTCCTGGGAAATAAAGGGCAGCTCTCGGATCAGAACCAAGAGCACTACAAAAAAGAGCTACACACGTGTTTAAATAAAACACAAAAAGGAAACTGGATGAAGCGCATTACCTACAAATGTGGGGAGAAAAAGAGGACCCCACCCACTTTAGCTAGATTCTACCTGGGAAATACAAACACATCCTAGAAAAAATACCCTGGAGCTCATTAAAGCCCAAAGGTCCCTCCCACAACCAACCAGCCCAGGGTTCGGTAACCGGGCCCTTGGTCTAGAGCCCCGAGACAGAGATCGGGAGTTTCCCCAGACCCCGAGGCGGCCACAGGCCCCCACTTGCCTTCCACACGGCAGCCGCTGACTCTGCCTGGCCGTGCAGGTCCCGGGCATCGTTCAAGTCTTTTTTCATGATTTCCACGGACCCCTTGTTCTCCTGGAGAGAGAGGTTGGTTACCGAGGGTGGGCAGAAGGCCTGGGTCCCCCGGCCACCACACCCAAAGGGAGATCACACCAGCTGCTTGTACTAACAGTCTGACTGTCCCAGAAACAACCCCCAAGCACATGCTCTTTGTCTACTGACAGCAACATGTACCCAGTTAAACGGCTTCCAATGGTACGGGTGCCGGAGCTAAAGCGGCCATCCAGGTGGGCTCTGGAATTCCGTGCTCCTAAGCGGGCCCTGTTTGGTGTGCGCTCTGCCCAGTATCAAAGGCCTGTGCGGCCTTCTCTGCACCCCGCCTAATTGGGACGTGGGTCACTCTGCCCGTAGCAGGAGCCCGGAAGGCAGGAGTGCCCAGTGGCACGGGCTGGCTGGGCACCTGCTCTGGGATCCAGTGGGAGCTTATCTGCCGAACCCCACCTCTCTGGTGTCCACAGGCAGTGACCCTAGGGCACACACCCTATCCCTAAGGTGCAAGGAAGGGCTCACAGCGCCCGGCACTGGCTGGTGCATGAACATACCAGGTAGGCTTTCCCGCTGGTGCGCAGGGTCCAGGCACCACTGCCTGGGTGCCCAGGGACCCAGCTGTTCTCTCGGAAATAAGTGTCCCCTCGACCAAGCCCCCATGAGTGCGATTTCAGGCCTCCCAGGACTCAGCTGCAGCCGGACCCTCAAGGCAGGTTTCTGCCCAATGGCAGAACATCGGGGAAGATTTCAGAAGGGGGTGGGTGAGGGGACCCAGGGGGCGCCAGGCAGGCTGAGCAGTGGCTCAGAGAGTGGGCCAGAACGTGGAACAGGCTGGGTGACACGCCATGAACCAAAGGGGCCAACAGCATTGTTCCCAGGACACAGCCGGTACCAGGGTCCAGGGGTCGGGGAGGGAAGGCGGGGCTGAGGCCAGCCTCCGAGTGACGTCACACCCGAGGGACCAGCGAGGGGGAGGGGCCAACCTGCGGGAGCTGGAGGGGGCCTGCAGGGCACATTGGGGTGGGGACCACGAGGATGGGGGAGGGGGAGAAAGACGTGTAAGAGGAAAAAGCACACGACTTCGCAGGGACAGAGGGGGAGGGGTGCGGACGGTGGAGACGAGATGGAACGGGGCTCTGCGGGCCAGGGGGTGGGAAAGACCCAGCGCAGGA